ATTACCCCCCATGCCTGCAATGTAGTAATGTTGGAAAATTGGATGTGAGAAATTGTGACATGAAAAATGGTATTGGAACATGAATTTCCATGTTTTGAAAAACAACATAATTGAAATCATTTGAAAACTGCATCCAAATGACAAACTGATCTCTGTGCTGGACAATGACATTTAACATAATTTTCTGATGCTAAGGTAATAATAAATACAAATTGGTAGGTCAATACTAAAACACTCTCCTGAATATCCAGAGGCCAATACTTTCAAAATTTACAAAAGTATTTGAAGCTACAAGTCCACAGGATGCCTCGTGGTCAATTATCCCTTTTAGGAGATAAAAAGTTCATATTTAATATCGAATAGACTAAAACAGAATATATAACCAAAAAAATTACCATTTCGAAACGTAATTTATTAAATAAACATTTAAATCCATCGTTTGTAGACTTTTGTGAAATTCAAAACATGAAAAAATTGGATTTTTCTTTTAAAAATATTTTATTTATTGGAATTGAAAAACGATTTCTTATGATTTATATTTCTCAAAATATAATATTTACAATCATGTAAAAGATTTTTTATTTTCCTTTAGTAAACAGAAAAATACCTAAAATTAAAATCGTTTGTAGACTTTAGTGAAATAGTGTAATATCCCCCACGAACAATGTAAATTCTTAGAAATTAGGTTTATGGTATAATCATAGATCACTATATAATGTTCTTTTTAACCGCAAACATTTTCCATGAAAAGGAGCTCACAACAGTCCCGATTGGACTCCACCGACTGAAATTAGTATTTATATTAAGAAAAAACAAATGGTCCTATTTACAAACGAAGCAAAAAATAAGTAAGAAGTCTATATTCGCCTTTGCCGAATCTTATATTGTACCTTTCACCGTAGTGCGTTTAAAAAATATTAATCTTATATCAATTTATTTAATTTTACTTAACTCGGCATTACTTTAGCAATAGAAAAAAAAACAACGCTCAACAAAACAAAACAAAACTTTTTTATCAAAGCAATTATGTTGCTCGTTTATGGGGCTGTGTGAGCACAAATATAAAAAAATTTTAAATTTTCAATTACAGTTTGATGTGTCTGTGGGCTTGTGCAAGCCCATTTTACAATAAGATTGTTAAATTTTTTTTTTTTTACTAATACAATAAAAAATATTTTTAAAAATTAATATTTTACATTTTTACATAAAATACAAATGCCTTCAACTATTTTGGAAGTTTGTTTCATAATAAAACTACAATTTGTTAAAAAATTAACATCTTAAAAAGTAAATATTTGTTATCATAATAAAGTTTATACTGCAGAATTGAACGAGCACACCTATTCATTAATTTAATTTTAATATGATATGTTCGACGTCTGTGGAAAAATGGCATTCAACAAATCGCACACACAAATCCAACGTATATGGCCAGCTTTATTGAGGATTCCGAAGATATCTGGGGTCTTCAGAAAATTGATTTCAACTGACAGCCGGACATGGCTTAATCTTCTACGCTATCTATAAGGATTCAGAACCGACTCACTCTGTATAGAAAGCAAAAACGTGTTTTTGTTACCCCTCTGAAAATTTACTTTGCTTTGTTTTATGATGATTCCCAAAATATTTTAAGTCTTGCGATGGCCGTTCGTGAGCTGGATCAAATTTAAAAAGGGTATTTTTTTAAAATTTTAGTTTTCTTTTGAAACAATATATTCAACATGGGGTATCGTTTGAAAGAAGTTTTAAAACCGCGTCCAATGATGTATCATAAAAAACCTGCTCATATTGTTATATTCCAAAAAAAATCTAAAATTGTTAGGTTTTTCACTAATATACATAAAATTTATGGACAATTTTACACATCACTAGACGCGGCTTCAAACAACCTTTCAAATGATACCACATATTGTGTATTTTGTTTAAGAAAAAACTGTAAAAATTAAAAAATAACTAAAAAGGGACTTTTGTGTAACCGGTCCAGCTCACGAACGGCCGCCGATAGACTAAAAATATTTTGGGAACCATTATAAAACAAAACAAAGATTTTTTGAAGCTGTGTAAAATTTTGAATTGAACATTAAAAATCGTGTCCCCCATAGAATATTTTCTTGAAAACAGCTCACGAACGGACAACACTAAACCCAAAATATTTTGGGTAACATCATATTAAATAACAGCGAATGTTTTGATGGGGGTAACTCAAGCACCATTTTTTTGTGAGTCGGTCTAATGTATATACGAAGGTGAAGCTATTTTATGGCTAAATTTAGCACATTTCAGTCTCGTTTAGACATCAAAAAATTTATTTTGGCTTTAGCCATTTTTATTTTAATTTTTTGGCCATTTAAAATTTAGTGAAATACCTGCTAAATCGCAAAAATTTTACTTTTTATACAATTCTAAGATGATTATGCTCTGTTTTTTTAAAGCACAGAGTTAAAAAGTGGCATCAATTTTCCAGAAGAAAACTATTTTAATAACTTCCATTGTGAAAATTATCTATTATTTTTAGTATTTTTTTAATATTGATATGATTTTTGTAAAAAAAAGTTCAGCCTTTTTTGTAATTCTTTAGCCATTTTTATACCCTACACCACTATAGTGGGGAGGGTATTATGCGTTTTTAACACCAATAAATATTGATATTACACACCTTAATGTATACCAATTTTTAAGATAATTTGATGAGACTTCACATTTACGCCCAGGACGAACACTATTGAAAATGGTTGAAATCTGTCAATTATTTCACCTAGCCCCCATACAACCGGACCTCCCGAATAGGGCTTCTGAGCTCAAAATTATGTTAAATATTCTAGTAAAAAATTTGCAAAACTTAGTTTTATATAAGCCTAGTGATGCTGCCGATTTCCTAATGATCCGGCCTCATTTGACCCTAGCCCCCATACAAAGTCCCCTTCAGAAAATGTCTTGAAAGTCCATAATTCACCAATAAACAATAGTATCACGATGAAATTTGGCACAAACAAATAAATAAATATAAATCCCGACAATAAATTTTATAAAGATCGGCCCAATTTCTGCCCCAGCCCCCATACAACCGGACCTTCCGATTTGGGCCTTTTCAGTGTCGAATTCGGATAATAAAAATGGTTCTATTGCATTAGCAAGGTCCATGGCAATTTATTTACTATTAAATATTATGTCTAGAACTATCCAAAGACGAACTGCAGAAGGTTGATCAAAGTCATATTGACTAAAAACGCCTACAATTCAAACTGGCTAGGATTGATTTGATAGAGGGGCACATCTGAAGTTTTAGTAAAATCGAATAATGTTAACCCATAAACTGTGAGGGTCAAACTTGGGAAATTCTCTTGAAACCATAGTGAAATATTATTTTGTTTTCAACCGATATAAATGAATAATATATGTATAATGAAGACCCGTATTTATGATAACACCGCAAATATTAAAAAAAACCTTTAAACTTAAATATATTTTTACAATTATATAAAATGTCCGTAATATATGAACAAAATATTCGATGTCATTTCGGAAGAAAATAGTGGGTGATAAAAAAAACAGATATAAGATTCGGTTTCAGCACCTAAAAATACATTAAAAATTGTCCAATTGATTTTAAAAGTTTTCACAAACCTTCATTTCGTTGGCCTGTGTAATCGGGCCTCATTTAAAATTATCTCATATAAATCCATCCACCAAATATTATGGCTTCTTTCAGTAAATCAGTTTTTCAATGCAACATTCAACGTAAATGGTTTATTATTAAAAATTAATCACATTTAATATTCCTAATTGGTGTAGGGTATCATATGGCTACGACCGACTATAGTTTCTTACTTGTTTGCTATGATTTTAACCATTTTTGGTTAAAGCTTTAATTTAAAAAAATTTACAATTCGCTCATTTACTACAAGGCTGGAATAATTCAAAATTCAGATTTTTTGAACGGAAGACATGCGTCATACTAAAGTTTTTCATATACATTTATCAAATTTCAAATATGGGGAATTTCGTGTCAAGTGACCCAACATTAAAAATCGATGTCTTCCGATTTGGATGAAATTTCCACTTTGGATATTCTCCTTTGGACAATTATTGCTACGACCAATAGGTGAAAAGTTACACACATTTGAATAAAACCCTGTAAGTCCGGCAGTAAAAGCTAAGTCCGGCAGTTCTTGACCGATAGATCTGAAAATTTGTGTCTGACCTACTTTCCAATAGTACATACTAACCTTAGTGAAAATTTCGTCAAAATCGATTTTTTGAGTTGGGTCACTTGACATAAAATTCCCAATATATATATATTATTATTATTTTGCTGTAAATGTAAAAACTAAAACTCATGTTTTCCCGAATATTAGATAAAAAAAACTAAATTCCTTAAAATATTAATATTTAAAATTTGATGTCTTTTGGAAATTTTATACAGCAAACATCGATCTAGCCGTTTAGGCGTGATTGATGAACAAATAAACAAACGACATTTTATACACCAACATAGAATTCCTTTTTTTACCCCCATTGGGTGGGCTTCCAAAATATGCATATTTCCGATACTATAAAAAGCGCAGTTGATATATAACAGATAAAAATAAAAAAGTACTAATTTTGCCCGTTTTTCCCCCTTTTGTCATATTTCTGATACTTTAAAAAACTTAATGGAATATATTTTGGCTTAAGCAAAGACAATAATTGGTATTTATGCTTAAAATTACTAATTTTGACCGCTTTTCACCCATTTGCCCCCTTTTATACCAAGAAAATCGGTCTAGGCGTTTAGGCGTGATTGACGAACAAACAAACAAACGAACAGACTTACAAAGAGATTTATAACATATATTAGGATTATTAAACATTCAAAGCCATTTTTCTCGAACGACTTTTTATTATTAAGCCGGTCTTGTAGTAAATGATCGATATGTTTGTATGTATGCATGTATGTATGTATATTTCTAATATTTATAATATTGCTCATTAATATTGTTTAACGTCTTATTAATTTCTAGGTCAATTTAGTATTTTATTGAATACAATACTAAACAAGGCAGATTTTGAACAAATTCAAAGATCTCATAGCATATTTCAAGCTAATATATTATCATTATGCTTTCTTCTAACTGATGTAAGTTTTCATTTACTATGCACACTACATAGATTGATATCTTTAAGTTTAATTTTTTATTTATTTATTTATTTTAGGAGGATGCTATGAAAGTAAGCATGTTACAGACTTCATCGCTTCATTCAAATAATCCAGTTTATTTAATAATCAATGAAATTTTTCATATATGCGAAGATTTCTGTACTTTAGTTGAGTCTCACAAATTAGATGAAATGTTAAATGCTAAAATTGACCAACTCGATGAACGGTAAGTTAAATTTGTTAAGTATGTATGTACACTGAAAATAATACATGCATAACTTTACTAAAAAACAATTTCGTAACTACCCTTTTTAGTAATATTTACGAAAATTTCGTGTATAATGCGAAATATTATTAATTTGACGAAAGTACGAAAACCTTTTGTAATATATTTTTCGCAAATTTAAGCGAAATTAAACATAATGATATTAATTGCATTATCATTAAATAAAACTACAACAATTTTTAGAATATGTTATTTAATGATATAAATATTATTTTTATTTTAAGATTTGGCAGTTTAATACAACAACTTATAAATTTGTTGGTTGGTTTAAAAACGGCTCCAAGTACAACACCATTATCTCAGCTTTTACTACGATTGGATTTCAACCACTGGTTTAGCATCAAGAAAGCCTAACGAATATGAATAACTTCTCTTTAAATATTTATTTTTATTTATTGTTATTTTGAAATATCTGATAATGAATAAATGAGCTTAAAATTAATACATTACGTACATATGGATATGATATTGTAATCAGATTTTAGCAATAACAACGAAATGTTTATATAGTTCATTAATATCTTTAAATATTAGAATCTAATTCGCTTTATGTCCTCCATGCGGAAATCGGTTCTATAAAAATAATTCCAATTATAATTTAAGCCTTAAAATATAATTTCAACAATAGTTTTGATGTTGATTCTTACCGTAATGTCAGTATTGTCCGAACTTCGTTGGGTGTTATACGCCACGAAGACAACTCTGAACTGTTATCCGGATTCCAGTAATCATTTAGCTCAGACACCTTTTCAAGGTTCAAGATGGTAGCAATTTGTGTGAGTCGGGTCATTTTATCACGAATTGACCACGAGGTTGCACTGGCCAAATAGGCACCTAAAACTCGCACTTCCTGATCTAGTACTAAGCCTCCCAACTACGTAAAATTAAATATGGCTACTTTAGTTTTTTTTTTTTTTTTTTTAATCTAAACGAAAATAATCTTACATACACGATTAAATGTACATTTCTTGATCGCTCTTTCTAAACGCAATGTCAATTCTGTTGCCACAATACTAATAAGAGCGTCCGTGTTGCGTGGAGTTAACATTTGCTTAAAAGTATTTAATAAGCCTTCAATTTGTACAATCAAAAATTGAACAAACGTTTCGCCAGCCTCGTATGATGCCAATTCATCCTAAATTATACAAACATAATTTAACAACTACCAAATTTTAAAATATGTTCTGCGTACTTCTGTAAAATGATGTTTATAATTAAGAAACTGATCGACCCATGGATGTAGTCGTGGTTTGATTGCGCTTGAACGCAACTGCTGCATGCCAAAATCTACACATGCTTTTAAAGTATCCCGAACAGTTTTAAGCTCTGCAAGACAACTATCTATTAGTTGTTTCTCTACATTTGTTATGGCTGGAAAGGCCCCTTTTATCTCTTGTTCCATAGTTTGCCACAAAGTTTCAATATACTCTGTTGACATGTCGGCATTGTTTAGTTGGACTAAGAAATGTACCCTGGATTTCTCAATGTCACTCGATTGGATTCTACCCTGCTGCAATGTGTTTTGTATAGCATTATAGGCTTGGGCCAAATCAATATAACCAGAGGGATAACCCTGTTTTAAAGGCGCTCGCAATGCATTGACAAAGTCACTATCCAAACATGTTGCAGCATTGTTTATAACAGCGCATGTTCCGTTTACAGATTGACTAGACAAAGAGCGCCTTATTGACTTTCTTAGAATAAAGAATACATCGTCAACCATTGAAGAAGACAATTGACCGCTCTCGTAAGTATCCAAGGCAATAGCCTTAATTACACTTTCCTCCATAAAGTAGCTGTAAAACATTAAAAATCCTATTAGCTCATATACTAAGAAAAAGGAATAATATAATTTACCGTTCAAATAAGAGATAAGTTCCAAGCAACTCCTGCATTTGTCTGCTTAAATCAGATTTATTTAAAACTTGATTCATTTTTTCCAATTTACCATCCTGTGATGTTTTATCCAAATAACTAGATTCAATGTCAGCCTAAAAAAATAAATAACATATGATTTGTATAAGCTAAAGTTTTTAAAAAATAATAGGTTTTGTATTCTGTATAATCCTGAAAATATCAATCCAGGTATTTGTATAATGTTATCAATTGTTACAGCCCTCATTGACAATATTGCAAAGGATTTTATAAATCGTTACCTACAATGCATAAATTGTTCAAAGGTGTACCAATTCTTTGGTACGCCTTTGCATTTCAGGTGACGATATACAAAGATATCAGTAACTTAAAGAAATAAGAATATAAAAGAAATAAGAATAAAAAAGAAATAATATATTATTAAAGAAATAATAATATAAAAAAACGTTAGTTGAAATTTTTTGAACACCGGTAAATTGAACTGATAGCTAATTATGACGCTATGTTGTTATTAGAATTATATACCAAATAAGAGTTAATAAAAGGGGAAAATTATAGGCCGATATCTTATCACAAATAGTAATGAAAAAAAAAAAACAATATAATTTCATAGAATGTAAAATATGAAAAATAGCTAAAAAAAACGTGTCACAAAAATCGCCTTAGGGATGAATTGAGTAAAAAATACTAATATCTATTATTAAAAAGGCTTCAGCGAAAACACAAACTTTATAAAAATAAAAAACTAATACTCTGATCTTTTTACATTTATTAAATTTTAAATTGGGCTGATCATTTTGAAAGGAATCATATACATAACTATATATGTATAAGCATATCGCTCATTTACTCCAAGACTGGCATATCAAATGTCTATGTAAAAATATTGCATTAACAAAAAATGTAAAAATATTGCATTAACAAAAAAAAAAATAAATTATTTATTTGAAATATCTTTTTCGTTTACCATACGAAAATTTACAACCAAAGAATATAAAGAAATTGGGGCTTGTCAGTTGGTACGCAAAGGAGTTGTCATTCGGTACCAAAGAATATAAAGAAATTGGGGCTTGTCAGTTGGTACCAAAGAATAAATAAGAAATGAAACTGTTGTCAAAAGTACCTAAGTCTACTGTCATCCGGTACCTAACTCTAAGAATATATTAGTAGAATTCTCAAGTCAACATAGTTGCAAAAAATCGTATTGAAAAAAAAAATATTACATTTCAATTTATACTTTGAAAGGTTTCTTAAGATATTTTCCACATATTTTATCTACAAACATTTTATAAACACGTCTATTTGTTTTTTAATCTATAATATTGAAAAAAATAAATTATTTATTTGAAATATCTTTTTCGTTTACCATACGAAAATTTACAACATTGTTTTTTTTTAGTTTTAATTTCAACCAACAAAAATTCAATGTCAAAAAATAAAATTTTGTTTTTTCGTTTGTAAAAAATATATAATTTTCGGGCTGTTAAATGTGTTTAAATTGTGCAAAAAAAAATATAAAATATAATGTTAAGTGATAAAAAATATTTCAAAGTGCTATTATCCTCAAATTTTCGCGAAAAAGTTTTGAAGTTTGGAGAGAGAATAACATTTTTACATATGTGTTGGATTTACACAGCACTCGTCTGTGAGAAGAGCGTAATGTTATTGTTGTAAAAAAATGACAGCGTTTCACTTCTTGTTTATTCTTTGGTTGGTACGTAAAGGAGTTGTCATTCGGTACCTAACTCTAAGTATGTATTGGTAGAATTTTTGTATTAGTATTGGAGCTCCAACCACTTTCACCACACTTTCCAAACATACATACTTGCATAAAATCGTACATAAAAATTTTAGGAAAAATAAATAGCATTTAAATTTCTACATTCGCAGATTTTTTAATTTATTTTGCCCACATCTAATCAGTAAACATTTAATAAATATATTTTTCGGACTTAAAATCTCTTTTTTTGCAAAAAAATAAGTTTATTTTAAATAATTTTTTCATTTTCAATACCAAAATATACAACTTTGTTTTGTCAATTTTAATTTCAACACACAAAAATTAATTGTCAAAAAAATTTTAAAAAATATTTTTTTAGTTTGTGAAAAATAAAAATATTTCGGATTGTTAAATGCGATAAAATTGTGTAAAAAAATAAAAAATAGTTATGTGTTTGTGAAAAAACGTCGTTCAAGTCCTATTATCCCGGTATTTTCGCGAAAAAGTTTTGAAGTATTGTGAGAGAATTGAGTTCTCACAAGTGTGTTGAATTCACACAGAACTCGTCTGTGAAGAGAAGGAAATGTTATTGTTGTAAAACAATGTCATAGTCCAACTTCTTATTATTCTTTGTTTACAACATTGTTTTTTTAGTTTTAATTTCAACCAACAAAAATTCAATGTCAAAAAATAAAAAATATTTTTTTTTTTTTCGTTTGTAAAAAATATATTATTTTCGGGCTATTAAATGTGTTTAAATTGTGCAAAAAAATTATAAAATATAATGTTAAGTGATAAAAAATATTTCAAAGTGCTATTATCCTCAAATTTTCGCGAAAAAGTTTTGAAGTTTGGAGAGAGAATAAAATTTTTACATATGTGTTGGATTTACACAGCACTCGTCTGTGAGAAGAGCGAAATGTTACTGTTGTAAAAAAATGACAGCGTTTCACTTCTTGTTTATTCTTTGTTTTAAACAAAGAATAATAATAAGTTGGACTATGACATTGTTTTACAACAATAACATTTCCTTCTCTTCACAGACGAGTTCTGTGTAAATTCAACATACTTGTGAGAACTCAATTCTCTCACAATACTTCAAAACTTTTTCGCGAAAATACCGGGATAATAGGACTTGAACGACGTTTTTTCCCAAACACATAACTATTTTTTTAATTTTTTACACAATTTTATAGCATTTAACAATCCGAAATATTTTTATTTTTCACAAACTAAAAAAATATTTTTTTAATTTTTTTGACAATTAATTTTTGTGTGTTGAAATTAAAATTGACAAAACAAAGTTGTATATTTTGGTATTGAAAATGAAAAAATTATTTAAAATAAACTTATTTTTTTGCAAAAAAAGAGATTTTAAGTCCGAAAAATATATTTATTAAATGTTTGCTGATTAGACATGGGCCAAGATATAGGCGCAATTTACATGAAGACTTTTCAGACGTCTGTTTTTTCCAATTCTCCTTTGAGAATCTTCCAAAAAATCATGAACATTTATACGGTGATTTTTTACATGCAACTATGCATGTCTTTTTTTGATGTTTAATTGTATAATCCTTTTTAATTACTTATTCGTAATAAAAATAAAATGAAATTTTTAACATAAAAACCATTTAATTTGATTTAAAAAAATTTAATTACACGCTATAGTATTTTTTTAATGCAAATTTTAATGTTTTCATGTAAAAAAAGACAATTATTTTTTTACATGAGCATAATATCAACAGTACGAATGAGTTTAAAGAGGAATGTCAAAAACAATCATGAAAATCCCAAATCATATTTGTTTTCTTACCCCCCATTCTTCTCTACCCCGCTCACCACCAATCATCGACAAACATGAAAACAGACGTCTGGGCAAACATGAAAAAAAATCATCGTGTAAATTGGGTGATATTAATTATAAGGTAGTGTCGTCGGCGAATTCAGAAATACGGAGCGAATTCATTTTATTTTTTATATATGGAGTTTGACAGCATGCCTACACTTCAAAGTGCAAGCACACTGTCAAACTACATATAAAAAAATCAAGTGTATTAGCAAAAAATAATCAGCTGCTCTGTTAACACTACCTTATAATTAATATACCTTGATGTGGGCCAAGATATATTAACTATAAGTAGGGTTCTATAAATCGACTTTCGAATAATCGAACAATCGACTTTTTGTCGAAAAAAGTCGAAGTCGACTATTTTGTTCCAAAAAAGTCGATAACTCGACTATCGTCTATGAAAAATGTCGAAAAGTCGACTTTGTAAATAAAAGTCGGAAAGTCGAAAAAAGTCGAAAAGTCGAAAAAAGTCGATAAGTCGAAGAAAGTCGAAAAGTCGTAAAGTCGGAAAAAGTCGAAAAGTCAAAAATAGTCGAATATTTTAAAAAAGTGGAAAAGAGGTCAAAAACTCTAAAATAGTCGGAAAAACTCAAAAAAAGTAAAAAATAGTCGAAAAAAGTCGAAAAAAAGTCGAAAATAGTCAAAAAGTCGTAAAAAATCGAAAAGTCGAAAAGTTGAAAAAAGTCGGAAAAAGTCGAAAAAAGTCAAGAAGTCGAAAAAAGTCGGAAAAAGTCGAAAAGTCGACTTTTAAATAAATGGAAAAGGTCGAAAAGTCAAAAAATCGACTTTTCATAAAATGGAAAAAGTCGAAAGGTCGACTTTTAACTAAATGCAAAAAGTCGAAAAGTCGACTTTTCGTTTCAACTATAGAACCCTAATTATAAGGTAGTGTCGTCGGCGAATTCAGAAATACGGAGCGAATTCATTTTATTTTTATATATGGAGTTTGACAGCATGCCTACACTTCAAAGTGCCAGCACACTGTCAAACTACATATAAAAAAAATCAAAAGTGTATTAGCAAAAAATAATCAGCTGCTCTGTTAACACTACCTTATAATTAATATACCTTGATGTGGGCAAAATAAATTAGAAAATCTGCGAATGTAGAAATTTAAATGTTATTTATTTTTCCTAAAATTTTTATGTACGATTTAATGCAAGTATGTATGTTTGGAAAGTGTGGTGAAAGTGGTTGGAGCTCCAATACTAATACAAAAATTCTACCAATACATATTTAGAGTTAGGTACCGAATGACAACTCCTTTACGTACCAATTGACAAGCCCCAATTTCTTTATATTCTTTGCCAGTAAACTTCAAAAAATTTTTTGAGAGAGAGAAATGACACTACCTTCATATTTTTATCATGGTGTAGCCAGCTTTAATAGAGAAACCTATCAGTTGTTATGATAGTTGACAATGGCTTATATAAAAATGGATAAATTAGACTTTTTACCTTTAATATTTAAATGTTTTTGTAGATAGGGCCTTTTGATTTTTGTAAATAAAATCGCTAATTTTGGTCGGAGGAGTCCAATTTTTTGTGTCGACATCAACATCAACAATAAAATAATTTTGAATTTTTTGTTAGTTAGGGCCGTTTGCGTTTCAGATGATATTAACGTCTACTATATGAATTTGATTTAAATTTCAAAAACCCTTGATTCGTTTAAAATATATTTAAAAAATAATTAAATGTCATAAAAATTCGAAGCCATTTTCTCGAAACGACTTTTTTGGATTATACCAGAATTGTAGTAAATGAGCGATATATGTATTAATAGCTTATGGATAACGTAATTATGACAAATTTGTTATCCGAGATTTGAAAACATCAACGCAATGGAAAAATAATGCAATATAGTTTGAAACCAATATGATTCACCCCTATTCTGCATTTCGATTACGTTTCCGCATTCAGCCACGATCGAAAATTGGTATTCCAACAAAATACGGAATCATAGGGAAAAGTAGAAGCAATTTCATTTTATTTCAATGTTTTAAGATTGTGTGTATTCTGTATTGCGATCGTAACTACTAGAGATGAGCGATCCAGTGATTTCTAAAGAACGTCGTTCTTAGTGAACGTGATTTGTAAATCACTGTTCTTTAAAACAGTGACTGTGATCACGGTTTTCACTTATAAAGCAAAACAATATTAATATTTTTTTCGATTATTTTGGTTAAAAGCAATTTTTTTACAATAACAACGTATTTTATTGGGTCTTATATCTTTCAGTATTCATTTCAGTCACAGTAGCTACCAGTGAATTATTAATCACAGTCGTGAAAAATATTGCTCATCTCTAGTAACTACGTTTTTGTAAGCTGTTATTTTAGTGACGGAGCTTCGAATCGAAATGCAGAATACCAAAGATCCTAAACTGAAATGCAGAAGAGGGGTGATGATAAAAATTTTATGATTATCTTACCGTTACTCGCCTCTTCATAAATCGAAAATATAGTTCTGCTCTTGAATGCATAACTGTTATCTCTGCAATAATCGCATCGATATCTTTGGGATTAAGCTTATCAATAGATCCTCCCGATGGTTTTCGATAATGGCCTAAAGTTACCGCCGATGTTGTATTAGTATTAGTACTTCGAGAACAGCCCTCTTTAACTTGTTGCGTTCTAAGTCCGATTTTGCGATTTTTATTGAATTCAAGTAATAAGCTCTTTACGTCTGTATCACATTGACGTTGTAGAACTTGTAGCATATCTAACAAATAACCAGCGCCATAGCATGCCTCGACTATCGGCTGATTGACTTCGATTACTCGTGCAAAATTCTCCAACAGCGATGTCAATGTATCCGCAAATGCCAACTGTAAACGTTTTTCAGCTTTTGCTATGTCCATTGAATTACGCAGTTCTTTCTGAGCTTTAATCGATAATTTTATACAAATATAGTTGGAGAACTTTTCAATACCTTCCTCATGTCGTCCAAGAAGAGGAAATATTTTAAAAAATCTTTCCACCGATGCTAAATCATCCTTCTTTACAGCCTCGTTAAATCTACGCACTATCAAATCGCGCATTTCGACAGTAGCAGTTTCCAGGGTCCTTATAGCTTCGCTGACAGAACTTACCGACCCCTGGACATCGTCCGCAGTTCTTTTAAGTAGTTGTAAATCCATCGCCAAAAATCGATTAATATGACCAGCACCAATTTCAAAATCTTCATCAGCAATGGCAGTCATAACACCTTGACTGCACAATTGTAAATCAATAAGATCGTGCACACGTTGCTGACACTCAGAAACACGGCTTCGTGCGAGATCCAGTCGCCTAACCTTTGCACTTACAGATTCTGCCAGTTGAGCTGTCCTCACAATTTGAGTATCTAATTTATTAGAATCCCTGCTTACGTCGTTAAGCATCAGCATTGCTCTTGTTATACCTCGCATTTTTGACTCTATTTGACACTGTTTGCTTAGTAGATTCTCCAGATCTAGTTCGATTTCATCCTAATTTAAGTTACAAATAATTAGTTTTTTTTTTTCGCTAAGAAATTGCAAATAAAAGTTATCGAACCTCATTATTTTTTATTAGATTTAGCACATTATCTACATTTAAACTATTTCCTATATCTACGTCGCCAAAAAATCCTTTTAAATCCATTTTGTTTATAATAATTTAAAGTAAAATAAATATTTTTTCGTCTGCATTAATTTAATCAACTTCTTTATTTGTTTACACACAACTGCACGTAATAAATGAAATTGAAACATTTGACACGTCGATACACTGTGCAAAAATCAAATTCATAAACTAATATCATTCACAAACAAACATATAAAAAATAAAAAAATGTCAGATTTTCAATAATTTTTTAATACCGATTTTCGCACCAAAAGTTTGGTCTTATTTTTTTGCTGTAAAATTTGACAAAAGCAGCTTTTAGACTTATTAAATGTCAAAATTGACACATCTGAATTCTGACTGATCTCTATTTTTCGGACATATTTGACTTTTCGACTGACAAATTCTAATTAATTTTTATTTATTAACCCCCGTTAACACCAACTCCGGTTATCGTTTAACCGCCCTACATGAACAGTGACAGTCATTTGATCGGTCATTTGACTGGCACTACTCTACTGATGTTTCTATCAGTTTCTTAAGGCAAATGGACAAAAGTGATGGAAACATTTGTGTACATGTGATTTTTCTTCTCCCTTGCACTTATGAATTCTATCGACTTTAAAACATATATTTGAGCTCCTCACTCTTTTGTTGTTTACTAACCATGGATGACATAGATATTAGTCAGGATTGACTGATCATGCTTGATGGTTATATCTATCACAGTTAACAAATTAAAAATGATGTATTTATCGATCATTGTTGACTAATCATATTTGATGAATATATCCGTCAAATGTGACGGCTATACTAATTTATAATAAAACACAATTTATTAATATTTTAAAATATATATATGTTAATTTTATTAATATAATAAGCATGTACATAAATTAACAATAATTTCACCATTTTACATACCTCGCAAGATCTTAAATCCGCTGATGCTCCTTTTAATTTGTGGAAATAAGTTGTCTGTAAGAAATACATATAAATATTAAAATATAAAAATTAAAAGTAAGTAATTATGTTACCATAGATTGATTAAACTCCGAAGTGTTTATCTTCAGCTCCACTTCCTGCACTATTTTTAAATTCTGTTTATAATAATTCTCTTTATTTTTAATAATTTATAGTCTTTGTAAATTTTTAAATTTTTCGCTTCTTTATCTTTGGCTTTTACAGAAATAATTAATTTATAACGTCGAAAAATATAACTCTAAAACACAGTAACAGTCAAATGTAGTAGTTTCATTCTTTCATATGCAAATGAAACCCTTTACCACACATTGGGTACATCAACAGTCATTTTACCGGTCATTTGACTGTCATTATTGATGGAATTATCCATTAACTATTTTTTTAGCAATTTTATACAAAAAAAGTTGCAAGAGTGTTAGTGAAATCATTTTGTATGTGTTAGTTTCGGTCATACATTTCTTGTAGAATATCTACCGCGGTATATATTAATAAAGTAGCGAAATCTCTTGTTGTACAACAACATCTACAACAACCACATGTATTTTGTTTTTGGAATAATTTAAGATTGTGTCAAAATAAAATTTCCTGGAACAACAATATGAACAAAACATAAATAAAAAATATTACTTTTAAGTTAAAAATATTAACTATTTAATTATATTATTATATATTATACATATTATTACACTTTTAAACTACTTTAAAACCACTTTTAATTCACTTTTTCTACTTTTCACAAATTTTAACAAATAGCAAAACACAATTTAAAAATGGCGACGTAAACAATGTTAACAATTTTCAAAACAAACTTTGACAACTTGCTTCATTTATCTAGTTTAAAAAAATAGTCAGCTGTTCAAGTGATGCTACTTTATTAATATACTTTGATATTCTGCCGGTTTGTATGAAAACTGTCAATTGAACCAGGGTGCACTCATAAGGTGAGGTCAATTCAACAGCTGATCACTCATTTTTTTTATTTGAGGTAGATACAACTGTCAAAGTACACCATTTAGAGTTGCTACAATCCGAAAAAGTATGTACATCTATCTAGGGATTCATTATATTTTTAGGACAAAAAATTAATAAATAAATTTTATATTCATTTTAAACCGTAGTAAATTTATGCGAAATACTCAAAAATTGCACAAACTATTTGTCTTAAATATGCATCTATTTTATCAATTATAGGGAACTTTTTACTAATCAATTGAGAGTACAAACATCCCACAATTGTAAATAAAATTATTAAAACTCGATTTTATCATAGATATCTTAATTTTTAACAACTTTCCATGGTAGTGGTTTGGTCACATTTCTATAAAGATCATTATATATTTCTGTAGGGGTACCAAATCAAACACTTTAATTTAATTAATTCAAAGTTCAAATATTCATTTATTTATAATTAAATCTTAAATTATAACGTTTTTATAAAAATTACACGAGAGCCACCACCGCAGCGCCTGTTGTTTCACTTTCGTGTTCAATTTGATACTGATCTCTTTGACAAAAGATTAAAGTTCTGTTCTTATAAAAATATGATGAGTTCAGAGTGTATGTCATAGTATTAGTGTCCTGTTATGTTACAGTGGGTCGAGTGTATATCCTACATTCGGCCGTCCTGATGCTGGCTTCGTCCCGAAGCTAGATTCCACGGCTTCATGTGTTCGGCGACGGTAGTGCATTTTTTGGAACCTTCGCCTTCATCCACTTTTACGACTTCATATCTGTCGTGATTTAATTTGGACACAATTTTATATGGACCCAAGAACTTCGGACGTAGTTTCATTCCTACTCCATATTGAGTTCGTTTAATAGCGACGAGGACGCCCACTTTATAGTTGGTAGCTGGTACTCTCTTACTGTCAAACGTCTTCTTGTTTTCAGCCTGTATTTTTGAAATATTTTTTCTTGCTTCATCTCTTATTTCGTCTCTTTCTTGCTGTAGTTCAGTTATCGAAAACTCTTGTACTAACTGATTTAATTGTGGATCTTCCTTGGTTCGCATACTAATGCCTGTCATCAACTGGAAAGGGGTGTTCTGAGTACTTCTCGAGGGGGTGTTGTTTATTACTTGCTGAACTCTTTCAACGTATTTATACCAATTATTTGGTTTTTCGGCACACATTTTGGCTAACATGGGCACGATTATTCGGTTGATTCTTTCTACCTGTCCATTACCTCTCGGAACTCCCGTGGCGATTAGCAGATGCTGTATCCCTTCGCCCCTACAATATTCTTCAAATTCATTGGCTGTGAAGGCAGTACCCCTGTCGGTTATTATTCGTTGCGGGTTACCAAAGATGGCGGACTGTTTTTTCATCTTCTCAACCACTTCTTTACTGCCAGTACTCTTGGTCGGGTATAACCAGACAAATTTTGTGAACGCATCGACCACAACGAGGATATGATTATACATTTTGTGAGTAGCTTCCATTGGACCGACGTGATCCAAATGGTAGGTCACGAAAGGTCTGTCCGATTTGTCGATCGGGTTAAGCCTTCCCTCTTTCTTTCCAGACTTTGCATCAACTATAATGCACTCTACACAGCTCTTTACCACTGCCTCCGTTTTCTCTTCTAATTTGGGAATATAAAACTGTTTCTCCACTAAATCTTTGGTCTTACGACTCGCAAAGTGTCCTTGGCGGTGAGCCATCTCGATAATCTCCTTTTCCATACTAACGGGTATGACGATTAGTTCTTTAGCTTGGTCCTTGTATAAAATTCCATACTTTATGAAGTAATCATCATAAGAACTTTTTTCGAGTACTTTGCAAACTGCTTTTATCCAATCATCGTTCTGCTGAGCCTCTTTTATACGATGTTGGAGTGCATCTTGAATCATAAGACATGAAACTCGACTTAGGGCATCAACGTGCTTCATTCGTGTTCCAGAGCGGTGTTCAATGGTGTAGTCAAATTCTTGAAGGAATAGGGCCCATCTTGATACTCTAACCGGAACATCGTCTTTCCGCATGGTCATGGCAAACGCGTTACAATCGGTTACTATTTTGAATTTTAGTCCTAACACGTATACTCTCCACTTCTTTAAGGCTTCGACTATTGCTAACACTTCTAGCTCGTACGAATGGTATTTCTCTTCTGAAGAAGTTGTTTTTCTGCTCATATACTCTATCGGGTGGAACGCGGAATCTTCAGAGTCTTTCTGGAGGAGCACAGCCCCGTATCCATGCTTACTAGCATCGGTATGAATCTCTGTTTCGGCTTTCGGATTATACAGTTTCAAAACCGAATCGCTCGACAAAGCTGTTTTTAATTGTTGTACGGCTAGTAACTCCTCATCACCCATCTTGAAGTTTGCACCCTTTTTAAGCAAGTCAGACAATGGTTTGGCGATCATTGCATACTCCGGTATAAAGCGACGGAAAAAAGACGTCAACCCCAAAAATCGCTGTACAGCCTTCACGTTATTGGGTATCGGGAATATCTTGATAGCTGCGATCTTTTCTTCCGAGGGCGATATGGACGAGTTTTCAATTATATATCCTAAAAACTTGATCTTACGGCGCAGAAATTGGCACTTACTCCACTTAAATTGAAGCCCATTTGACGATGCAACTTCTAAAACTCGGTGCAGTTTATGGATGCCTTCCTTCTCATCACGGGATAATATAACTATGTCGTCCATATACACGACAATCGTTCCGTCTTTAACCAGATCGCGGAAAACGGCTGAAATGTAGCGACAAAACACGGCTGGCGAATTACTTATACCGAAGGGAACAAATTGGAACTCGTACTGTCCACTTGGCGTAACGAAAGCTGTGTATTTTCTCGAGTCTTTTTCTATTGGCACGTGCAAAAATCCGTTCTTTAGGTCGAGTGTAGTAAACACTTTAGCCTCCTGCAATCTTTGAATTACGTCATCGACCAGAGCCATGGGAAAGTTATCCTGGATGATCTTCTCGTTTAAACGTCTGTAGTCACAACAAAGTCTTTTCGATCCGTCTTTCTTCGTTACTAAGACTACTGGTGAAGAGTACTCGGAATAGCTTGGCTTAATGACACCCTCTTTCAACCATTCACTTACTTGATTTTCTATGGCCTTCTGATCAGCATATGATGTTCTGCGGGGTCTACTGGCCACTGGAATGTCGTCGGACAATATGATTTTCATTTCCACAGCGTACGTTGTTGGTTTTTGTGGTCTGTAACGGTCTACAGTTGATCGAATCTCTTCAGCGTAAATCTTATTTAAGTGTTCTAGTTCCAACCCAATTC